GGGGTGGGATGCTGGCGTAGGGACCCTAGGATGGGATGGTGGGATGGGGCAATGGAGTGGAGATGGTGGGATAGGACAGTGAGATGGGGACACTGGTGTGGGATGGTGGGATGGGACAACGGGGTGGGGATGGTGGGCTGAGATGCTGGGAGGGGACTCTGGGGGTGGGATGCTACCACGGGTGGGGATTTGGGGGGGCTCAGCCCCCCCCTTCCCACACCCCCAGGCCTCCTGGAGCGCCAGCGGCTGCAGTACGTGCTCCAGGACCAGACGGTGCTGCAGCTCATCGGTGGGAACCGCTACCCGGCCGTCACCCTGCCCATCTGGTGGCAGGTCCCTCAGTACCTCCTCATGGGCATCAGCGAGCTCTTTACCAGCATCCCCGGTGGGTGGTGCCCACCTCCTCCTGGCACGGGGGGCATCCTCCGAATCCCTTGGTGGAGGGACCCCAAAAGTTCCAACTTTCTCCCCATGGTTTCTCCCCTTTCCCCTAGGCCTGGAGTTCGCCTACGCCGAGGCCCCCAAGTCCATGAAAGGAGCCATCATGGGTGTCTTCTTCTTCATCACGGGGGTGGGCTCGCTGCTGGGGTGGGGGCTACTCACCCTCCTCTCCCTGCCCACCCACGGGTGGATGCGCTGCCCAGAGGACTATGGTGAGAACCTTCATGGGGACAACGGTGTCACCTCTGTCCCTCTTGGGGTGGTGGGAACGGGGTGTGGGACATGGTGGGGGAGGTGTCCTGAGGCCCACCACCCCCACGTGGGTTCTGAGAACCCTCATGGGGACAACGGTGTCATCTCCCTCCCGCTTGGGGTGGTGGGGATGGGGTGTGGGACATGGTGGGGGAGGTGTCCTGAGGACCACCACCCCCACGTGGGTTCTGAGGACCCTCCTGCTCACAGGGAGCATCAAGAGTTGCCGCATGGACCACTACTTCTTCCTGCTGGCCGGGGTCCAGTTGGTCACTTGTCTCCTTGTCACCTGGATGTCCAGGCGCTACCAGAGTCGGCCACCATGGCCAAGTGTCCCCCACCTCTGCCGGGGACCAGAGGAGGACTGATGGGATGTGGGGGGACAGGGATGCTGGTCCAGAGTGGGGACAGCACCCCCAAAGAGCCAGAGTGGTCACCCCCATCTGGGGGTGGTCACCCCATTCTCTGGTGTGGGGCAGAGGGAGGGGGGAAGGTTGGGTGGGTGCCAGCCCAGCGTGGGGACCCTCTTGAGATCAGGGTTGG